TTGATGGAAGGTAGCTCTCGTGCTGGGAAAGAAGTCTTATGAGTTTGGGCCCCCTAGCGGCTTGTTCTGGAACTGCAGGGCACTTTCTGGCGAAATGTTTAAAAGCCAATAAGTCCAGACAGGAACAACATATTTTCATTATTTTTGGTGTGTAGGTAGCTGAGAGAGAGATGTACATAATTAAATGCAAATTATGCAAATGAGGACTTTATTTGCATAATTAAATGAGGAAATTCTATAATTACAGTGTTTTACGATATCTCGCGATCTGGACATGCTAGGGTCATGAAATTTTGATGGAAGGTAGCTCTCGTGCTCGGGAAGAAGTCATATAAGTTTGGGCCCCCTAGCGGCTTGTTCTGGAACTGCAGGGCACTTTCTGGCGAAATGTTTAAAAGCCAATAAGTCCAGACAGGAACAACATATTTTCATTATTTTTGGTGTGTAGGTAGCTGAGAGAGATGTACATAATTAAATGCAAATTATGCAAATGAGGACTTTATTTGCATAATTAATGAGGAAATTCTATAAGTACAGTGTTTTACGATATCTCGCGATCTGGACATGCTAGGGTCATGAAATTTTGATGGAAGGTAGCTCTCGTGCTTGGGAAGAAGTCATATAAGTTTGGGCCCCCTAGCGGCTTGTTCTGGAACTGCAGGGCACTTTCTGGCGAAATGTTTAAAAGCCAATAAGTCCAGACAGGAACAACATATTTTCATTATTTTTGGTGTGTAGGTAGCTGAGAGAGATGTACATAATTAAATGCAAATTATGCAAATGAGGACTTTATTTGCATAATTAATGAGGAAATTCTATAAGTACAGTGTTTTACATTATACTACTTACATACATGTAATGTATGTAACCTATGGCAGGCGGAACTTCAACAGATACTAATTATGCAAATGATGACCTAATTTGCATAATTAATGCGAAAATTCTATGGTTTCGTAATGGTGAATGATGAGACATCTGTAAGTTAATCAAAATTTAACATACATCACGATGCATATATCATGTTAATGCAGAGGTCATTTGCACAATTAAAGAAGAAATTTACATTTACATATCAAGATCATATTTCATGGAGGTATGAGGTCTCGGAATTCTAGTTATAATTTGCGTTTGAGCCGTGAACCCTGTGCTTGTGTGAGGTGGTTGCTTAGAAGATTAGCTTAGAAGATTAGAAGTGTCTGCATGTTCCTTTTGTTTTTATGTTTTTATGATTTGCGATGACTTGTTCGAGCTGCGAACCCTGTGCTTGTGTGAGGTGGTTGCTTAGGAGATTAGAAGTGTCTGCATGTTCCTTCTGTCTGTTTTTTTTTATGATTTGCTATGATTTTGTGAGCCATGAACCCTGTGTTCATGGCTCACAACCGCCTCACATTGTGTGAGGCAGTTGCTTAGAAGTGTCTGCATGTTCTTTCTGTGTTATTTTTATGATTTGCGATGACTTGTTTGAGCTGTGAACCCTGTGCTTGTGTGAGACGGTTGCTTACACTGTTCCCGTCTGTTTCTGCACTCTGCTGGTGTACCGCGAACACAGCTGATAAACAGGAGCACACAGACAAACCAACCAACAAACCCGACGACCTTCCCATCAGGCACCTGGGTAGAAAACCTGGCACACTGCCCCCCAAACCTTCAGGTGAGAGGGTTGCAGGGGGGTGTCCTTCGTCCGTCCATCCATTCATTCATTCGTTCACTCATTCATCCATCTCTCCATCCATCTATGTAGGGATTTTTCCATTCTTCCATCCATCCTTCATTCCACCCAACTGTGTGCAGTGTAAAAGAAAGAAATGTAACCAATCAGACAATGTGTTAAACTTTCTTCTACCCCTTTTTTGTTTTTCTGATTCCATTTTGTACCATGTCTGACTGTATTACAGCATCCATCTGTGGTCTAGAGTTAGCTCTTGGATTCCTAAACCAGGTTTGGATTAAGTTTGACCATCCCCAATGTACGTAAACCCTGACACAGGCTTACAACTCTATAAATGTACTGATAGTCACCAACATATTAGAGGTACAAGCCTTGAAAATATCTAAATATATCCCTCTATACATCTACAACTTTGTTGTATGCATACATTTTGTACATAGCTAGATTGAATGAAATCAATATCCAGACACAAAAATTTAACACAAAGGGATGTCTTCTTGTCCCCAGCCCTTGCCACCCAACCATGGCTCGGGAAGAGAAAACTACAATTGCCCTGCACTACATACAGCGCACAGGTTGGTCCGAATGTTAATTTCTCCTCTCTCCCAGGTTCCATTGAGGAGAAGTTGGATAAGAAGTCGGCGACGCTCCCGATCATTCCTCCAAAGAAACCAGGTCCTCCGACCACGGCCAAGAAACCAACCCTGGCAAAAAGCACAGAGTCTCTCAACTCTACATCATCTGTGGAACAAAACGCAGATGGTGGTAGGTCTTTTTCACACTAGGCCAAAAGTTATCCAGAATGACAGATTCTGTTGTAGTTCCAATTAATCTAAGTACAAATATTGACATACAATCTCAAAACCCATTTTACAATTAAAATGTACTCCTAACAGAAGTCTCAAATCTCCAATTTCTGGTTTATAGTGTACATGTATTGGGTAGTTACTTTCAGACGATTTTTTTCATAGCATACATGTACTGTGAGGCATTCTGCGCTTTCAATATGATACATTTTTATCTTCAAATTAGATTTACATCCTAAAATAGTCACAGTAAAGATGGAAACCTTTGCTTCTTTACGATCATGAATTAACCAGGACACCTGTCCAAAGTCATGAATTAATAAGGACTTTGAAAGGACATCATGAATTAATGACAGATTTTGTAGACCGTCAGTCCAAGTGCAGATCTAGATCTGGTGACATTCCAGAATGTTTTCACCTGGTAAGAGTACATTTGTCAACTGTAAAATTCTCTTAGTCTTAGCTTCAAAACATAGGGGAAGGAAAAGGCATGTTACTACTTTGTTAGTGGTTTGGACATCATTGTCATTGCATACATGTAGACTAAGTAGTCTTTATCAAAGATTGAAGATTGGAAAAGGTAGACTGAACAAAAGGCATTCAGAGACACACACACCAAGACTTAGTGTGAGGTGATACCAAAACTATACTGGTAGATGAAAACCTTACTAGAAAAGCAGAAGTTTTGTTTGTTGTTCAAGTTTCTGGCAGGAACCCAGTGTAGATTTCAGCACGCCATGACATTATGAATAACCCTGATGCTAACTTGTGTTGTTTTGTTGTTTTTTTCCAGACGTTGGTAACTTTGACCACATCCAGGTCTCCCCAGACAAACTGACACATCTGACAGCACAGAGAGCCAAACACCCCAACAGGAGACCTCCATCCATGTTCTCTTCTCCTAAGGTGGGCCATAGTCTAACCTTTAGCAAACTGATGTAGCTGTTTAGCACCATTTTTGAATCATAAGTATAGGTTTCAATGGAATGACTGCTTGATATCAAAGTCATTGATTGATCTTGGGATCTTTGATTACGCCATATAAGACAACTGCTACCTAGTCCAGACTCAATGTGAAGTTGCCAATTTTATCTTTGAGGATTCATCAACAGAACGAAAACAAGTCCCCCTTTAAGAATCCTGTGTAACAGGAGCAGATAACAGAATCTGATGTTCCCACCACTTGTTTGGAATAAGGACAATTACATCTTGCTATGACATGTCTTTCTATACAAAGTCTTGAACTTTGCAGCCCTTTCCTCAATGTAGAGACCCCCCCTTCCCTCAGCCATTGTCACCCACAGCCTGTCTGCCCCAGCTTGCACATATTTGGAGGTCTGTGTTGACTAAAGCATAGTCAGCACACCTCCCATATTCTGTTCTGTTGCCTGTTGCATGATACAGCCCGTATCTACCTGGCTGAAAAATAGTAAAGGGAGGCGGCCTATAGCTACTGATGGTTATCTGAACTGTTTGGTAAGTTCTCGCAGTTATGAAATACACAGGAACAGCAGGCAGTGCCTTCAAGTATCTTTTACTACAAGTAGCTTCTTCAGAACCTGAAAATACTAATAGCAAGCTTTATAGACAGCACTTAGAAAGTCCAGAGTTATAATTGTAACTGCACCCCTTCTAACTTAATTAATATTAGATCTGGGTTGACCATTATTTTTTTATTTTTACTATTCATTCTTTTAATATTTTTTTATCTATTAATTATATATTTGTTATTGGACCTTCACATATTCTATCCCCCTGTCATTCGAATATTCAGAATTTGAACAGCAGGCATGCTGATTGGTCAAATCTTACTGCATTATCCAATCAGAGGTCCCGCCCAAATGCTTAGAAGTACACGTATCTGTGGTAATATTTGTATCAAACAAATTTGTACCCTAACCCTTGCAGATTTGAAGTCTCTTTAGTGCATTTGACTATTTGATGCCACTTTACCATCAGAATGATGCAACAAACAAAGAAACAAACAAACAAAGAAACAAACAGATGGCCTTTAAGAAAAGGGATACTGTATTATGATAAAAAGAATGGCCCAAAGACAAACACAACAGATTTATTTTTCTAGACCCTGTTTGAGTCATAGCAAAGCCACAACAACAAGAACCTTTTTGCATGAAGAGCTGTGGAAAAATTATTCATATTTTCTTCTCAATTCCAGGCTGAGAATGAGAATGAAGTCGAGGAGACCAGGACAGAGACTGTGGTGGAGAAAAAACAACCCGAGGTTATTAAAGAAAAATTGAAAGAAGAAAAAGAAGAGAAAGAGGAGGTTGCCCCGCCCCCCTGGGCGAAGGATATCCGTAAGGGGGCCTCTCTCAGGAGGGGGGTCATACCCCCTACTACAAAGGAGGTGAGGAAAGATGTTATGTATATGTTTAGATTGCATAATCATTTTTCCAGTAACTATCATAGAGTTGAAATTGTTGCTAGTACAGCCGGGGCGCCCCGGGCATTAGAAAGCTTTAAACAACTTCTACAGTTACATTGTAGATGTGCAAAGGTTGGGTGTAACAAGTCGTTCGGTGTAATGTAGGCAGCTGCCACCACACCACGTGCCTGCAAAGCTAGAGAGTAAGTGTGTTATCCCAAAGGATGGTTACAGTATATTAGCTACATGTTTACTGATACAGATAAAGATCGCTGCTAGGTGCGTGCTCGTGCGTGTGTTTGTGCATGTGTGTGTGATTTTTCTTTTACATTTTGAATTGATGTACGATGTATATTTTCTCCCTGCTCACCAGGAGCCTCTGCCAGAGAAGAGACCGCCTCCCCCGGCTGTGCACAGGGCGAAACCAACTCTGCCTCTACAAACACCCGCAAAACCTGACAGCAAACCTACAACTCCTACAGAACAACCTGTAACTACACCAGGTAAGAAAATTTAAACTAGTAAGGTACTAGTAAAATTTGCAATAATGTTTACCTTCACGTGAGAATGGTCTAACTCAACAAACCACAGACTTTTCTGTTAATTCTCACTCGAACACATTGAATTTCATATATATGATTTCCAGCCCCTCCAACTCTGTCCTACAACTTGCTACATAATGTAACCCGACACCACCACAGCATGTCTGCTACAGCACCAGTTACCATGGTGACAGACGTCTGGTTACATTTTGTAAATTCATTTACCTTCTGTGTTTGGAGAAGAAAAAGTAGAAGAAACAGAGCAAAATCTTCTTTTCCTCCTACTCTGTGAGGACACACATTATACATGTATATATATATATTATAATATATATAGGAGTATATGGGACCAAGTGCATGGTATAGCCATCCACACTTCACATACAGAAGTGCATAGTTTATGACCTGTAGTAACCTAGCGGCGCCCCCTATCTTCTTCCACAGGAACTCCACTGGACACGAAGGCGCTGGAGGATCTGCGGGGGGAGGTCAGGTCACTGAGGGAACAGATGACCAAGATGCAGTCGGACAACCGGCGCAAAATGAACGAACTTCTGAACGAGATCGACGAAGAGAAAAAGGTGCGCGTAGTTCACAGGAGCTGGACATTCCAGGGGCCTGCATGGGGGGGTCCTGACAACGCTCTACGCTGAATTCGGAAACCTCTCGATTACACTTTGTGATAAATTCCAAGTGGCTACAACGCAGTACATAGAATTAGGACGGCAAATATGCTCATCGCAAAATGCATCAATTGCGCTCTACTTTGAATTAAAACGGTCTGTCTACGATTTACGTAGAATTAAAATGGCCCCCATTCCACTATGTTGGACGAACAGATACAAAAGCTCCCCTATTAACGCACAAATTCCGATCAGTACAAGCGATTCAAGAACATCTTACAATAAGCGTATTTTAATGTCAATGATTGATAATGTTTTAATACTTAGTGTGTATACATGTACATGTATTTTAAATGTTGTGAACTCAACAAAATCCAGACTATGTAAGTCTGCAAGTTGACTAAAGATTCCTTCCTTCCTTCTTCAAGGTGCGGATGGCCATGCAGGTAGAGCTGGACAGACTGAAGAAACTCGTGATGTCATAACACTGCGGCATCGTGGGAAGAGTGAGGGGCATTGTGGGAGTTTGTTCGTGGGTGAACGTGTTCCACCTCGGTGCTGTATTCCGTGTGTATAGAGAGAGACTATTGGGGGGAAAAGAGGAAATTAGCACAAGTCATCAATAGCACGTCAGCAGAACGTACTGTGCCTCCACAAAACCTGTACTGTATTTGGCATAGCACTTATCTGTATCTGTATAGCTGGTATAACTGCCCTTTGGCGTAATACACCATATTCGTGTATTTAAGGATGACATCCCATGTATAGTTTTCAAATGTTACGTCGGAAAAGATATCATCTACAATGAGCAAAATTCTGATGCAGCGTTGACCAAACATCCAACGAAAACCATGAAAAAATCTGGGCTTCGCACAGGTGCGGTATGTTCTGTCGACATGCTTATCACTTATACCACATTGTGTCTGTTCAATCGTAAGGGGGTCAGCAAAGAAAAGACTGGTGAAAGCACCGTGTTGATAATCATACAATCAGGTCCTTGTCTCATGAGTATCTCTTAAGAACTGTGTCAGCCCTCACTTGTAACTACTGTAGGAGAACCAGATGAAATTCATGGCTATTTCACTGATAGATCTGGCAACAGACAAGCAACAAGTTTCCAAGAACCCAGATAGAACGAAGTTATCTGGATGTGGTCAAAACAATCGTTATGTTGGTACATTTCTTTTAGTAACAACTGGGTTAAAGATTAACCTTCAACACTCGAAGGGTGCCCCGTTTCACCAACTCATGAGAGAGAGGGCTTAAAAGTTACGGGACAGTAAAATCAGTTTGCCTTTACTTCTTCAACTTCTGAACTACATAGCAGTGAAAAATTTCAGGTAATCTACAATTCTCATGTACAAGAAGTAATGTAATTTTTGTCTAGTCTTTTGTGGAGAAATCAAACACATTCAAGCAGTTCTAAATAGCCAGAGGAAAGTACTGTAAGGTACAAGCACTTCAACCCTGCAGAGAATTTATTTTGAGAATTTGACAGTTAAGTTCTAGATTTCTGAAATTTCTGAGATTTGTGCCTGCCAAATAAAAAACATTTTTTTCATAGTAACACATATATTGTAAATTGTAGAATGTACAGGGTGCTAGAGTAAAGTTAGCCTGACTAAAAGTACATTTACCAATGCTGCAAGACGACATTTATAATAGATGTGTGCCTATGTACATGTACTGTAACATTACCAAATCCACACTGTATGTATACTCTATGACTTAATGCTAGTTCCCCTCCAAATGAAAGATTCCAAAGTAACACTGTTAGTTGATTATGTAGTTTTAAGGTCTCACACCAGAGGTATTAGTTGATTATGTAGTTTTAAGGTATCACACCAGAGTACCTCTGCACTCCAAAACAAAACCGACAGGTAACAGTAGTTCCAGAGAACCCCCACAAATGCTATGTTCCAAAATCAACCATTCTGATTGGTTGAAAATATATTGAGGTATCACACCATGTTCTTGGGCTATGAAGAGAACCTCTGCACTACACAGGATAGGAGGTCAGTGCACATTGTAGTCATTTATGCAAGGTTCTAAAAGCAATATTAGTCAATTTTTTAGTGCTCTCTGGTTTCTCCCTTGTGCCTTCATTGGCTGTTATACACCAATCTGTCTATTAGGCCTTCTGTTCACCAAGATGCAAAAGAAATCTTTGAAATCAAAAGAATTCTACTGGCTCAGGCCAACAAGATGTTGACACATAGCATGAAAGTTCATCTGTGTTGGTATACTTCATTATAACAAAGAGGGCTAAACGTTCTTGCCAACACTGAGGGACTTACCCAAATTTACTCAGTGTTGGTAAGAACATTTTGCCCTTTTTGTCATAATGTCTTCTTCATGTTGTCTTCAAATTTTGTTCCAACGAATGTAGGAATAGGAGGTGGGTGGCCTTGGTGCTGGTGCCTTTCGCAACAAAACTTAGCTGGCAAAAATTACGGAAAGTCTCTAGTAGTTTACTCATTCTTTTGGTGTTGCAAATGTTCATATTATGTTTGTCATGCAGCAAAGTACTAGTAGATACTCTTACTATAGAAACAGCAAAGTGAAATTATGTATTACAACACGTAACCAATCAGATTTTAGTTCAGTGTCAAGATTACTTTCAATTGGCTAGTTACAGGTGATCAGTAGCCAATGAAAACACTGTTTCCTATTTTCATGAGCCAATCAGAACAAGTATGACAATGCCTTCTACGTAGTGATGCTCTTGTGGCTTTGTGTCGGCTGTTCTGATTCGTCTACAGCTTGTGTCTGTAATGTGTAAACTGTTTAAATGCTGCAGACTTCTGACATGCAAGAATTAGTTATTATACTGTTACACAAGTTATAATTCTATTGTTATTCTCGATATGGGGCCTTCATTCAATGACTGCAAAATGAAGATAATTTTTTTGTGTATTTTGATGTTATTTGTATGCATTTAAATGGGGCTGTTGTACAGCACTATATTATACAACAAGTATCAGCCTAGATCGATCATTTATAGTACTTTATGGCATCTATTATTATATAGTTTTTCTTTATATATTGTAGACGAAATATGAATATTTTCTTCTGATTTAGAGTTTGCATCTGCCTTTAAATATAATGTACTTATGCATAAAATTACTCGGGCTGTGTCTGACTTTTGTAATACATTTATGTGCTAAATGTTCTTGCATGTGACTCTATCTCTGAATACTTTAGTGGTGGTGGTCTCATTACTGTAAATGTATTTAGTTTCGGGGTGGTCAGGGCTCGAAATTAAAGGTGGTCAAATGGCCACTGACCACTAAAATTTAGGCTGGGACAACTACATGTAAAAAGACACTTTGGGACATTTTTGGGACAATAGAAAAATAACATCAGAATGTCAGCCCTTTTTTTGTTTATCAGGCATACATCACGGCTTTTGGATCCGAAAAAGTCCCCCCGAATTTTCTGTCTACTCTGCAATTATAGTGCGCCTGGGAGTGAACATAAACAAAATAAAGTTGACTTCAAGTTGAAGTCATACAATTACTTCCCCCCCCCCCAAAAAAAACAGGTTGGGATAATATTATTATTAACTCAATATAATCACACACCAACTAAAACAAAAGACTCCATTTGTTTTACTTTTCTTTATTACTGACCATTTCTGAAGAAAAAAACTTACCAAAATCATGATCATCTGTATAAGCAAGGACAGTTTCTACCAGTTCTTGGTAGTCCTAAAACATGAATCTAGCCCTGAATACTGAGTATCAAAAGTCTCTACTTTTTATTCCCAGAACATACTTCAAAGGTGCATTCTGGTCAATATCTTTAATCAGTAGTCTAATGGTAACAAAAGTTTGGCAAAAATGTTTCCCAGTGTCTAACTGCCATAAAATCAACATCACGGTTTGGAATACACATTCATGGCAAGTGTCCACATTGTAACACACAGAATCTGAGTATCAATATCAACTACAGTGTACAAATGTACATGTATCAAGTATACCGGTAATCTCTAACTGGCACCATTATTAGAGAATCATGTAATGTTACTTGTTTGAAACTCTTGAGTCTATGAAAAGCCTAAAAAAGTAGCCTCTGCCAGGCTTCAGTAGTAGAGGCTATCCAAAGCGAGTGGCAAACTGTTCTCTTAGCAAGGACCAACTCCCCTGGCATAATCTGTCTATTTGGCCAATTTCTTCTCTTTTCAGCCGCTTCCTAAAGCCTGGTAGAGACTACTGAAAAAGTATGACTTGGTCAAGACTCAAGAGGATTCATTGTTTGAAGCCCTGCCTTTACTTAAGTCTTACAATGAGTTTGTCTACATAAACAACAGAGTCCAGACTGGCACCATGAATGGTTTAAAAGATGGTGGTACAGCTCGGTGACTGGTGAGTGATGATGATGATAACATGCCCTCCCCTCAGATCTTGCCTCTCTCCCGTTGTAACCGCGTGCTGTAAGTTCTGGAGACAATGTTCCAGGCATCCATGTACCGGTCCATACACATCGCTATACACTTCTGTGGACAGAAAACAGCATAAGTTATCCATGTATATATATACTGGTCCATACACATCGCTATACACTTCTGTGGACAGAAAACAGCATAAGTTATCCATGTACTGGTCCATACACATCGCTATACACTTCTGTGGGTGGAAAATGGCATAAGTTATCCATGTACCAGTCCATACACATCGCTATACACTTCTGTAGGTAGAAAACAGCATAAGTTATACATGTACCAGTCCATACACATCGCTATACACTTCTGTAGGTAGAAAACAGCATAAGTTATCCATGTACTGGTCCATACACATCGCTATACACTTCTGTGGACAGAAAACAGCTTAAGTTATCCATGTACCAGTCCATACACATCGCTATACACTTCTGTAGGTAGAAAACAGCATAAGTTATCCATGTACTGGTCCATACACATCGCTATACACTTATGTGGACAGAAAACAGCATAAGTTATCCATGTACTGGTCCATACACATCGCTATACACTTCTGTGGACAGAAAACAGCATAAGTTATCCATGTACCAGTCCATACACATCGCTATACACTTCTGTAGGTAGAAAACAGCATAAGTTATCCATGTACTGGTCCATACACAATCGCTATACACTTCTGTGGACAGAAAACAGCATAAGTTATACATGTACCAGTCCATACACATCGCTATACACTTCTGTAGGTAGAAAACAGCATAAGTTATCCATGTACTGGTCCATACACATCGCTATACACTTCTGTAGACAGAAAACAGCGTAAGTTATCCATGTACCGGTCCATACACATCACTATACACTTCTGTTGGTGGAAGACAGCAAAGGTTACTAGTATACATGTACTCAAATCTTCCATACACATCGCTATACACTTCTGTGGACAGAAAACAGCATAGGCTATAAGTTAGACTCAATGCAGCTCACTCCACCCAGGTGTAAAATGGGTAACACACTTCGGTTGGTGAGGTAGAAGGCAGTGGAAGGAGAGGGATGGGCTCTGCCTTCCAATACTGAGTCCTAGACACAATGGCCCAACAACCCACTGCCCCTCAAGGCTATAGTTCCCTCAGATAGTCCTATACCATAATTTCTGAGATACAGCTCCCATCTAAAGGTAAAGAACTAGTTGGAGAAACCAAGGAGGCTAGAGAAACTATGGTGTCTATTGTTATTCCAAAATCCAAATACATCAAATAGAACTCACCTGTTCTGAGTTGTCCAGAGAAGTTCCTGGTTTGGTCACGCATTTCTTGAAACATTTGTCTGACATTTTCTGCAGGGAAACAAGACAGAGTTTCACTTTCAGGACAAATATTGATTATAAGTACATATGATCACAGTTAGGAGGTTTAAACCGCCTTGCAGTAACAAATTATGTAATAAACTTTTATATTACTGGCTACGCCATAAATGACCATTAGATTTTTGACAAAGATACCTTAATACTGGAGTCAGACCACAAAGCAAAGATATGAAGTAATTTGTGCCATGCATATGGGGGAGGGGGGCAACTAGAAAGCCAACCATGCGTTCGCCGGTCCCTAGAAACTAAGTTTTACCTGCAATAATTCTTGTGCGTTCGCGATTGCGATCTGGGACTTGACTTGGTCCATGAGTTCATCCCTGTTTACACCAGATCCGCCGGCGGGAGGGCTGCTGAAATCCATCTTTGCTTCAAAATCGACGGAAAAGTTAGACACACGTGAGTAAAAATCTCCTTTTCACAAGGACGACTGACCTGACCTTTCACACTTGCAGTGCAGAAGCGCTGACTTGGACTAGCGGAATCTATCAGAACTGCAGTTGCCATGTGTGACCGTACAGGAATGCCGCCTGGCGGAATCTATTAGTACTGCAGTTTGACGTTTTTCCTTGGAGCTGACCTTTGCCCCGCACGAACGTCGTCAACAGAGATCATGGCGGATTTTCTTCTGTTGTAGAGACAGTTCACCCGAATTACGGATCAATATGTGGCCAACATGAAGGGCAAGGCTGGGGAAAACAGGCCTCCAGGTAAAATTAAGACACTTTTCTCCACTCTAGACGCCCCTGGCGACCTGTAACACCTTGTGAAGCGTGTTGTTGCCATAGTTTTGCCGGGCGGCTGATGTGATTTTGTACGATCAAAGACCAGTTAAACAGAGCTGACGGCGATCACTAAAATAGTTAGACCTGGGACGTGAGTTGTGTGTAAGATGGGGACTTGTACAACGTCTTGGCTAACAGCTAAGTCTCAGAACTATGTAAGAACGTCCCTAGTATTAGGTTGGAGTTGTGACAAGTGTGCAGAAGTTTAGAAGGTCGTTTTTATTTAATTAGTAGTCAAGTTTCAAGCCAAGCAAGACCTTGATACTTTTCAAGGTTCCTTGGTGCTTAATGCACTATTATAACGTTAGTGTCAAGATTCAACTTGGTCGTTGACTGTCTTTATTCAGACGTTTTCAGACTCAGAGTGAAGGTTGGAACTTATGTTGTCCTTGAAAAGTACTAGCACTGTATGGGGGTCCGGACAAAATTATACATTATGCACAATTCAGGGTTGTCTATGTATTATGCTAAATTCAGCATGGCATTTACACAAAATCATCAGTGACCAACTTGCTACTGCTACTAGTACTAGTATGATATTTGCCTATGCCTCTTAAATTAGCCCATAAAAGGGGCACAAGCTCCAACACAAAACCACAAAGATGCCTTCAAGTGCAGAAGTCCATAGTTTCAAAGATCAACATTCTACAAGTTCCAGGTGATACAAGATTTTCGGTAATCAGTTCCACAGTAGTCGGTTACAGGTGCCACCAGTCCTGTGGTTTAGTGGCTGCTTATTACGAGTACAAATTACGAGAAATGAAAATAAACAGAAAAGGGGCATACAGGTTACAACAGAAAACCACAGATATGCCCTTGAGTGCATACTCTAAAAGATCAACATTCTACAAGTTCCAGGTAATACAAGATTTTGGGTATAGTCTACTAGTATGTCCACAAAGATACTGTTCAGGTGCTTTTTTTATTGTCCTACATAGAATTGGCTACATCTCTGCTGTATTTCTCTCTGAATTTACAAGAATTTGTGAATTTTGTAACATTTGCTGTGAATCTGTCCCGAGTAGTTGGTTGCAGGTGCCACCGGTCCTATGGTTTAGTGGCTGATGTGGGTTTGGCAGGATGAGTTTATAAATGATTAATGAACCACTGTGGAAGCTAATCACGGTCACCGGGGAATTCTACACAATACCTGCTGTACATGTAACTGTTACCTGCAGGGGACAAATTTACACATTACAATACAAATGACAAATTTTGAACACTACCATGAAAAATCCTCTTTTCTTTGAAAAAAAATATAGAGACAGACATAGAGAAAAATTATGTGATGTGTCTTAAGAGCAGATATGGCCATCTCAACGAGTTTTAAGACAGTGTTATACCTTCTTGGCCATCTTAATTCACACCAGACAATTTGCCTGCAGGGCATAAACCTAAGGCTTCTTTTGATGTTTTTTTCAATCAATCCTACTCAATTGTGTGGAAAACAATTAAGAAGTGGACCAAACTGGACAAACATCCTACCTGACGTAAGAGTAAGACTCTACCTTACTCTACTCTAAAGATAATCTAGACAAGACAGGTTTAAAATAAAACTCAACTTGAGAGAACAATTAATATACAGAAATAGAACGTAATTGTGTAAATATACTATCACCCAGGCATACAAAATAAGGCTACAATGTTGAATCTTTTAAAATTCATTTGAAAACCAAACTTAACTGGTTTTCGCAATTGTTTTCTCAAATACTGGTGGGACATTTTTGTGTAACATGAAACTCTCTGAGTCCGTAGTCTCTCACACCTGTATACATGTACCTTTGATACAGAGAAACACCTTAATCCTACAAGATTACATGTACTTTGTGAAAAAAGAGTCAACAGTCATTCAGGACATCATTAGAAACCTCTTCTGTCCACCTCTAAAACCACCGGCTCAAAGAACCAAGCCCTTAATTACATACCCCATCTACCACGCACGCTCTGAGGCTCAGCTGGTTTTAACTCCTTTGTAAAAGGGGAAACCTTCGTCTTTCATGTTTCAAAGTGCACCTAAAACGTCATTTCCCAGGCCTAGCTTTTGACTAAAACAGTACACACGCAACTAAGATGTTTGATGTGGGCTTGTGATGAAAAAAGAGCCGGTTTATGAGTTAAGGAAGTGCGTCATGGCAGTGTTTTTGTATGGGTCATCACTCTGGTAACAATTACGGTAATGTACTGTAGATAGGCCAGAGAGATAATGAGATTGTTTGTACTAAGGCCACACCAATTTAATTTGTTGGTTCTCGGATTCGCCTCTTTGTTTTTTTCTGATTTGCAAAAAAAAAAAAATTTTATTCTGGTCCTGAATCAACTGAAAAATGCTCATATTTTGCTCCCAACAGTTGAGGAAAGTCCTTTTCTTCCTATAGTATATATAGTTGTTACAGTTTTTCAATCTTTTAATGCAGTGGTTTGGTTAAAAGTTCAAAATTCATTGTTTAAATTTTATCCCAGCTTTTTGTGTTGACATCATGGCTCCAATCGAAGCATTTGGGGCTATAATAGGATGCCTAGGCCTGTTTTTATTTTTATTTTTTTTCGCCCTGTCGCTTCATATTTTTTCTGAAAAAATCCGAGAACCAACAAATTAAATTGGTGTGTACTTATAAAGTCCCTGTGGCTTACCTTAATGATGTGGCTGGGTAGCTATGTGAATCAGATTACCTGAGGGAAGAGTTTCAAAAGTCAAATGTTTTCTATACAAGCCTATAACAAAAGCATATCTGTAAAGAATACTATTTACAAATATACTAGTAGTAAGATGTTTTACTTGCAAACAATAAATTTTCGAGTCAGTTTAGAAAGTATACAGCAGGAAAATTTGCATGTGTTTTTTTTTGCCAGTAACACCTGTTACCTGTAAACATATAGCAACAAAGCTGCATCTCTGCAACTGCGTGTTCATGGTCTTATGACAAATTTTTTGACCATCACATTTCTGAAATCAACTTTAGATGAGATGAACTTAAAGAAATGAAAAATTGAACGTTTTGACAATCCTTGGTTGTCCTCAGAGGACCTTCAATAATGAGATTAGTTCGTCTATTGTGAATGGCTTCATACTCATAGTGGAAAATACTGTACGTACAGCATTGAAAGGAGACGTGTATCTGACCTTGAATACTAGTACATGGTTTGTCAAGGCTTCAGTAGACAAAAGTCAAGGTAGACCTATCAGTTCAGTCTTTTGCATTTGCAGAGATATTTAGAAACAAATTTCTAATGCTGATTTTTCCAAGGGCCATAAAATTATTTAGCGTGTTGTCCCCCCCTCCACGATTTAGAGTATTTGGTATCATCCTCGCCGCTGTAGGGTTGAACGTAGCTCTTCCCTTTGCAGTTGCCATGGCAACTAATAAGCAGTCATGAAGCATATGTCAGGCTCAGTACTTATGTTCTCTTAAGCAGGCCTTATTTGGTGTTCATAGATGCGTGAAGTGCTCTAGGATTACCCAGGCCTGGTCAAAAAAATGTTGTGTTTCCTGTTTCCGAACTATCCCTAGAAAAAACTGCCGATCCTGGCCTTTTTTTGTGTGGATCCTTACAAGGGACAGTAATTCTTCAAGCTGATCGACCATTTCTAGCTCCATGATCTGACACCAGAGTGATAAAACATTTTTGTACAGTTGGTTTTCCAACATTGACATTGAAAATAAAACTGTCTTCAAGCAAGTTTTACTTTGCTAAACTGTATTGTATACTACATGTAGTAAGTTGGATCACTAGAGACTGCCAAAGTTAAAAAAAATAAGAAAGGAAAAAAAAGATAGTCCTTACCTACTGACCCTAATTTTTTCAGGACTGAAACAAGAAACACAACATTTTTTTTCGTAGGCCCTAGCATTTAATATAACCCACTACGCACATGTAGCCTGTAGCTGATATCTGTGGGTTTTGATAACAGGATGTTGAGGTTTTGACTCTTGAGGACCAGAGCAGTTGCCAGTAAAATAACACTCAAGTGTTAGAGTTGTGATTATAGTTGTAGCTTTATATAGAATTCCTGGTTGAGTTTGTTTTACTGGAAGCATTTTAAAGGAATACATCTCTGTCTGTGGTTCTTGAGGAAATAACAACCTTAAGGATGTTGAACAATAAGCAAGGTAAGTCTTAATTGCTTAATAATGAAAAAACATATCGGTTGGATTTTTTCTTGCTCCCTTTACTTATTAATATAATATTTTATGGTACTGATTTTGTGCTTTAGCATATTTTAGAAAATTCAGCAAATTTTAAACATGTTTGTCCCAATCTCTTACAATGTACAACATATACAAATGTATGGAGAGATGGGAGATTTTAGCAAGGAGTATGTTATTAGAGTATCCATATACCATAGCATGTTATATATCAATAAAAATAAAATTATCACAATGTAGTTTTAATGTTCAGTCGGTACCTTCTTTGTATGATTGTGATTGTGTATCAAGTGAGGACAATCTGGGATGTATCATACAAAATTTGTCTGTATTGTTGAAAGACTGTCTTAGATTCTTGTTCTGGTTGGTTCAGTCACAGCCCGTTTGGAATGTCACAGCCTCAAAATCGTACCATGGCCTACAAGGAATGTACATTGTAACCGTGCCATTAGTGATACACACGTAATGTTACATGTATGTGGCTTGTGCTGTGTGGATTTCTGCATGGTCAGTGGACCAGAGTCGTGTGGAGTTAACCATGTGTGATATCCTGACTCTGGTTACCTGTATGTTACAACAGTACTACAGGTGTACAGGTAAGGTTACTGTTATTCTGATGCCAACACAGAAGGGTCAAAATACTGGGCACAGGTTTACTAGACTTCAGGATAGATCTAGTAACACTTCATGTCTGTATCTGTATCTGTATAGCCAGTATAACCGCCCTTTGGCGTAACACACCGGCTATGTGAAGCCTTAAAATTAATTTTTTAGCTGCTA